ACTTTTAACTTATTATGCTCATGATATAGCATGTAGATTATGTAAATTTAATTGTGTATTTTGGGACAGTAGTGATGGTATCTATTTTTTAATTTTAAAAGCATGATACAGTATGAGTTTGTGATGGATGAATCTTCTTTTTTTATTTTCATGAAATGAGTGATGGGAAAATGAGTGAGCAATTGAATAAATAGTTTACTGAGAATTGCTTAAAATTTTCGGATTACTACATATAAATATTATAGAACAAATTCTTGATAAAAGGTCGTAATAATATGATTGCAAATAATCCACTGAACGGGTGGGGTTAAGAGCCCACAGCGATGGAGTTTTACCACTCACTCGCCACGGGTCTTAACCCCACCTGTTTTGTGGTTCGGTTTGTTTAAAAATTTTCATTCTTCTATAAGAAGAGAAAAACAGCATCTTTCAGGGAAGTTTGATTTACATCTGCTGTAGACTGGGCTTTAAGAGAAGACAAGAGGTGCTTTAACAACTGGAGAATATAATAAACTATGATTCACTAAATACTGAAATTGGGATGCTGTGAGCCTAACTTTACTCATAAACCTGTATGGGTTTAGTGCTTATTTAATATAAGAATAATCTGCTTCTGTAGCTGCAGACAGGTGAATGGGTAATCACATGTATGCACCCAGTATTAAGTGATCTGTTTTGATTGGTATGCATGTGCTATGCAGTAGTGAGAAGAGGCACACATATCATGTCTTCAGAGTTGAAATGACAAAAGTCCTTCACATATGTTTAGCAAGAAAGAAAACACATTGTTGTCTTCACTTCATTTACTTCTAGTAATATATTAACATAGACTTGAGTTTTGTAAGTGTGAAGTATCTATCTATACACTATGTGCACTCTGAAGGATGGTTAGTGCAGATTTACAGTGGACCCCCGGTTAACGATATTTTTTCACTCCAGAAGTATGTTCAGGTGCCAGTACTGACCGAATTTGTTCCCATAAGAAATATTGTGAAGTAAATTAGTCCATTTCAGACCCCCAAACATACACGTACAAATGCACTTACATAAATACACTTACATAATTGGTCGCATTCGGAGGTAATCGTTATGCGGGGGTCCACTGTATATGCAGTTTTCAGGGGTTGAATCTTAGCTCCTGGCCCTGAGATGTGCTTTAGAAGGTCCCTTCAGCTGTGATGTTCATCCACTTGTGCAAAAGACACTTCAAGAATGAATGACGGTGAATTTATTTCCTTCTTTGGGTCTGCATAATTTGGTTGGAAGCATCTAATGTGTAAAAAAAAAATTACTGCATATAGTACTCAAGACATGAGTGCTATGGTTTTCAAACCATGTGATGTTTACCAATGAATTTAGAATTATTCATAATGCAGCATTATAAATTATGTATAACAAAAAAAGGCACAATACTGTGACTGGAACGATACACAAATAACCCGCACATAGAAGAGAGGAGCTTACGACGACGTTTCAGTCTGACTTGGACCATTTACAAAGTCCAAGTTGGACCGAAACATCGTCGTAAGCTCCTCTCTTCTATGTGCGGGTTATTTGTGTATAAATTATGTATGTAGATTCTGGGTCATATCATCCTGGATGACTGAGATATAAATCATATATTTTTGTAATCAAAGCAACAGTGTTTTCTGGGTAGATTGTTAATTGATGCAATATTTTCTCTGCATTTTGGGAAGCTTCCTACTTTTCCTTAATATGTATTGTTACATCTGTTAAAATTTTATGCAGAATTTTCATTAGTAAGAGTTAATATTTTTACCAAAGTACGTAAACATTTTCACATTTTTATTAACATGCTTTTCTAAATATTATAACACTCGGTAGCATGTTTTTGCTCATGATGACTCTCATTTTCTATATATTTTATGTACAGAATGTCTGATAAATTATTTTGCATGAAATTAGTTTTTTTCTTATTGAGGTTTAAAATCTCATTGATATACTGTTAATAATATTCACTAAATCATTTCTCTTGTATAGTTACTTAAGGGATAGACTTCTGTAGCTGCTCATTATTCCTCATGTTGCTCACTTTGTTCATCATATATCTTTTAACTCGCTCTCTCTCTCTTGTATGGTATTGCACTGAATTACAGAAGTATGAAATCAAACTTCTGAGTTCTGGGAAATTCTGAAACTTAGCCTTTTATTGCCAGATGAACAAAGGAAATTTGTGAAAGCCCCTGAAATCAAGGAACAAAGTTTGTGAGAGTTTTCCACTGGAATCTTGTTATGTTTTGATCAAGTGCATTTTTAATATGTACTGTAGTTGTTTGTAGCATATGTGATATGCTCAGTTACTTTTAATGATAATTTTTTTTTTTTTAACTTTAATACATCAGTATTGCTAAGACATTAACCTGCAACATCTGGGTCAGATGATACACACACTTCCATGTGTCAACATATCCATCGTTGACCTTAACTTAGACTTTCTGCTGCACCTTCAGTCAGATCATGTCTGAAGGAATTCTAATGTATCAGTGTAATTCTACCATGTTCCTCTTGGAACTGGGGATAAGTTGGGACCAGTCTAAGTATAGACTAATTTACGAACACAAAGGCACAGTACCGTGACTAGAACAATACACAAATAATCCGCCCTCCTCTAGCATATATACTGGCTCCCTTACCTTCGTGCGCTAGTGTTACTAGTTAATGGACCAAGTTAGACTGAAATGTCGTCATATAGTTTCTTTCTCCTATGTGTGTTATTTGTGTATAGACTAATTGCTTCTAGCAGCTCCATTTTCATATTGTTGAAACTTCAATTTAACAGGTTAAAAGTATCAAACTTGAAAGACCCAAAGTTGTTCATCCTCTATCAGTCTATATTAAAGGGGCTGTTTCACTGTAGACCATATATTCCATCCGGATACTTGCATTCACAGTGTCTTTGCTGAATGCCGGCTTGTTGTGTCTATTCTTTTGATTTAGAGAAATCTTATGATACTGCCTGGCAGTATGTCTACTTTAATCATGCCCATTATTTTGGGATATGACATGCTTGGTGCCACTTTGGCATTAAGATCAGCAATAGCATTCAGACCTACTTTGGTTGAGCTGAAGGTGTTGTATACCACAAAGGTGCAATAACTGATTTTGGTCAAGCTGAACATACAATATACCACAAAAGATGCATAATCAGTACTCTCTTCTTCCTAATAACCATCAGTCATCTCATCAAGGTTCTCCCTCATGATTTTGCTATTGCTTATCCTTGGTACAGACAGTCAGCTGGTGGTTACAACACTCAAAATGGTGCACTTACTGTTGAATCTCTTTATATGGTTTTTAGTTTCCTGTGTCCAAAATGAACTTGATCTTTCTCACAATGCCTTGTTATTCACTGTGTTACTTTATCTTAGTTTACTAAACTGTAAAGCTCCTTGGCATTCTCTTTGATTGTCATATGTTATGGAAATCCCATATATCTTAACTGAAAGCTGTCTTAAGCAGAACGAATGACACACAAAATCATAAATCTATGTTTGGTGAGTTAGTAGACTCTAGGTAGTAGGTTGGTAGACAGCAACTGCCCATGGAGGTATTACCATCCTGCCACGTGAGTGTAAAACAAAAGCCTGTAATTGTTTTACATGATGGTAGAATTGCTGGTGTCTTTTTTTTTTTTTTTGTCTTGTAAATGTGCAAGATTTCAGGTACGTCTTGCTACTTTTACTTAGTTAGGTCACACTACACATGCATGTACAAACATATATATACACACTCCTCTGAGTTTTCTTCTATTTTCTTAATAGTTCTTGTTCTTGTTTATTTCCTCTTATCTCCATGGGGAAGTGGAATAGAATTCTTCCTCCATAAGCCATGCGTGTTGTAAGAGGCGACTAAAATGCCGGGAGCAAGGGGCTAGTAATCCCTTCTCTTGTACACATTACTAAAGTTAGCAAGAGAAACTTTCCTTTTTTCTTTTTGGGCCACCCTGCCTCAGTGGGATACGGCCAGTGTGTTGAATGAAGAAGTTAGTAAACTGAATTTACTCCAGATTTTACTGTAGTTTCAGTGCTTCTTTTTACTAAAGTATAAATTATAACTCCAAATTCTGTGTCATTTTTCTGAGAGGCTGATAGGAGTTACGTCAAGGTATCCGTGAATGTACAAGAACTCGGCAGCATCCTAATAAGGATCACACACACTGGGACAACCAGTTTCTCTTTGAGACTACAAGTGACTTTCAGACCTATAATCACAACATAAAAATATGCTGAATAGCATCAGGAACTCTACCCATTCACTAACTAATCATCATCAGACTGCATATACAGGAGGGCCTCACATATACAGAACCTTCTTTTTAGTCTTCCATGCTTTCGTTGGCTTAAAATGGAGCCATTATTCATTATGTTCCACCTGCTTGGGATTGTCACCAGCAGGTGGAACAATGGCTCAGTTGAAAGCCAATGAAAATGTGAAACACCGAAGATAGGTGTCTATGTGGGCCTGTATACAGATGAATAGCCAGGTAGGAAGAGTGTTCACCATCGGAGGTTTGGCACTGAAATTATATACGACCTATTTAATACATATGAGATTTTTATGGTCCCTAACCTGGAGGAGATGCAAATCTGTTATTGGTTAAAAATTTCTGCAAAACCTGGTGATGAACATTAATATTTGCAACACCATAAACAGCTTAATAGAGAGTTTATTTATTAATGCCTTAGGCTGAATCAAGTTTTAAAGAATCGTTAAACTTATTGATCATTAGACGACTAGAATTTGTCATACACAGTAATGGTAGCTCTGTTGTAGTTGTTCAGCTTGCATCTGAAAAAATGCAGGTTGGAATCCTGAGTGAGGCAAGATGTATGAACAAGTGTTCCAGTTCTGGGTGAGGTGAAATGTATGAACAAGTGTTTCAGTCAGGGGGGAGGTGAGATGTATGAGCAAGGGTTCCAGTCCTGGGTGAGGCAAGATGCATGAGCAAGTGTTTCAGTCAAGGTTGAGGTGAGATGTATGAGCCATTGCTTCAATCCTGGGTGAGGCAAGATGTATGAGCCAGTGTTCCAGTCCTGGGTGAGGCAAGATGTATGAGCAAGTGTTTCATGCCTGGTTGAGGCAAGATGTATGAGCCAGTGTTCCAGTCCTGGGTAAGGCAAGATGTATGGCAATGTTCCATCTGGGGAGGCAGATGTAGAAAGTGTTTCACACCTGGTTGAGGTGAGATGTATGAGCAAGTGTTTCACACCTGGGTGAGGCAAGGTATGACATTTAACTGTTTAGTAATGTATAGCCCAAATGTTTCACACCTGGGTGAGGCAAGATGTATGAGTAAGTGTTCCAGTCCTGGTTGAAGCGAGATGTATGTGCCAGTGCTTCAATTCTGGGTGAGGCAAGATGTGTGAGCAAGTGTTTTTATATATACTGCCCCTGATCACCTAGCAATAATTAAATACCTAGTACTGTAGTTACTTGGCTGTGGGTGACATCCTAGGGAAGAGGACCTACAAACCCCCAATAGAAATCAGCCACACTGCTTCACTTTAATGAGTTATTTTCATTTATCCTCCTGGATTAATAATCTGAGTAAAGTTTTCTTCAACTGATGATCACGCACACTGTTAGTCTCATACAGCGCCATAACAAGTTTACCTCATTTATGAATCCTCATATAAATTGCTCCAATATTGTTTGTATTGATATTAATTGTCTAATAGTCATATGATGTTTATAAAAGTAAAATATTTATGATGTACAGTATTTTTTTATTTTTGGGGGTTATAAGCATGCAAAATTTTAGTAAACCTGGAGGGGGCTTCAGGGGTCAGTGCCCCCACAGCCCGGTCTGTGACCAAGCCCATGTCAGGTGGGTTATTTATTAGAGGATTTAGTGATATATATAATCTATTTTAACTATTGAAATTTGACTAAAAGACAAATAATGCATTAACTTTATTTAGTTAATTTATTTTATACTGTATAAAGTACATATATGAATTCAAAGGAATTGTTACCAGATAATGTTGAATATTTTTTCTGCTAGATGTTCATACAAAACACGAATGTTGTTGATGTTTTCTCATTATTAAGACAACATAATAAACCATACCCCCGGCCGGGATTGAACCCGCGGTCATAGAGTCTCAAAACTCCAGCCCGTCGCGTTAGCCACTAGACCAGCTAGCCACAATAAGATAGTGGCTAACGCGACGGGCTGGAGTTTTGAGACTCTATGACCGCGGGTTCAATCCCGGCCGGGGGTATGGTTTGTTTGCAATCTTGTCATTACGATTTCTTGAGTCAAGACAACATAATGGTAGTATTTTTAATATACTGTTGTATACATGTTTTTTGTAGTGTATAGTGAGTCAGGTGAAGTACTCTGACAGATACTTGCAGTGTGTTAACCAACTTTCAAAATAGCATTTCAGTTTCTAGATGATAGAAGCAGTTTCTAGATGATAGTAGTAGCTTCTAGATGACAGTAGTAGCTTCTAGATTATAGTAGCAGCTTCTAGATTATAGGAGCAGCTTCTAGATTATAAGAGCAGCTTCTAGATTATAGGAGCAGCTTCTAGATTATAAGAGCAGCTTCTAGATTATAGGAGCAGCTTCTAGATTATAGTAGCAGCTTCTAGATTATAGGAGCAGCTTCTAGATTATAGGAGCAGCTTCTAGATGATAGGAACAGCTTCTAGATGATAGGAACAGCTTCTAGATGATAGGAACAGCTTCTAGATGATAGGAACAGTTTCTAGATGATAGGAGCAGTTTCTAGATTATAGGAGCAGTTTCTAGATGATAGCAGTTTCTAGATGATAGGAGCAGTTTCTAGATGATAGGAACAGTTTCTAGATGATAGGAACAGTTTCTAGATGATAGGAGCAGTTTCTAGATGATAGGAGCAGTTTCTAGATGATAGGAGCAGTTTCTAGATGATAGGAGCAGTTTCTAGATGATAGGACGTTTCTAGATGATAGGAACAGTTTCTAGATGATAGGAACAGTTTCTAGATGATAGGAACAGCTTCTAGATGATAGGAACAGTTTCTAGATGATAGGAACAGTTTCTAGATGATAGGAACAGTTTCTAGATGATAGCAGTTTCTAGATGATAGGAGCAGTTTCTAGATGATAGGAGCAGTTTCTAGATGATAGTAGCTTCTAGATGATATGAGCTGCTTCTAGATGATGATAGCTGCTTCTAGATGATAGAAGCAGTTTCTAGATGATAGGAACAGTTTCTAGATGATAGGAACAGTTTCTAGATGATAGGAACAGTTTCTAGATGATAGGAACAGTTTCTAGATGATAGGAACAGTTTCTAGATGATAGGAGCTGCTTCTAGATGATAGTAGCTTCTAGAGGATAGGAGCTGCTTCTAGATGATAGGAGCTGCTTCTAGATGATAGTAGCTTCTAGATGATAGGAGCTGCTTCTAGATGATAGTAACTTCTAGATGATAGGAGCTGCTTCTAGATGATATTAGCTTCTAGATGATAGGAGCTGCTTCTAGATGATAGTAGCTTCTAGATGATAGGAGCTGCTTCTAGATGATAGTAGCTTCTAGATGATAGGAGCTGCTTCTAGATGATAGTAGCTGCTTCTAGATGATAGAAGCAGCTTCTAGATGATAGGAGCAGTTTCTAGATGATAGGAGCAGTTTCTAGATGATAGGAACAGTTTCTAGATGATAGGAGCTGCTTCTAGATGATAGTAGCTTCTAGATGATAGGAACAGTTTCTAGATGATAGGAACAGTTTCTAGATGATAGGAACAGTTTCTAGATGATAGGAACAGTTTCTAGATGATAGGAGCTGCTTCTAGATGATAGTAGCTTCTAGATGATAGGAGCTGCTTCTAGATGATAGTAGCTTCTAGATGATAGGAGCTGCTTCTAGATGATAGTAGCTTCTAGATGATAAAATCTAGATGATAGAGCTTCTAGATGATAGAAGCTTCTAGATGATAGAAGCTTCTAGATGATAGTAGCTTCTAGATGATAGGAGCTTCTAGATGATAGAAGCTTCTAGATGATAGAAGCTTCTAGATGATAGTAGCTTCTAGATGATAGAAGCTTCTAGATGATAGGAGCAGGTTCTAGATGATAGAAGTAGAGTGCACAAACAGTAGTTTGACCATTGGCATATAATCTAGAATTTGAAACAGAGTTGCAGTAACCTAATAAAATTCTTACATTTGCTTTCGTTTTTGATTCGCTGAGCAGTGTTCTCATTGAAAGTGCTGAGATATCTTATTATAGCTGAGGAGACAACACTGTAAATATCACTGGGGTGCTTTCTCTTGCATTTTAACAACAACAACAGAAGTCCTCAGCCCAAGACATAAGATCAGAGAAGTGCTGAATGAATTGCTTGTAAACTTAACAATCCACAGTAATAAAGGTAGAATTATCAACAATGTGTTAGATAAAAGAACACATACACAGCTAATGTAACTTTTGGCAACGCTTCGCTCCTGAAGAGCAAAATGCTGCCATGGTGAAATGTCACTTTAGTTGTGTATGTGCCCTTTTACCTAATAAAAAAAAGTCCACGATCAGAGAAAATATGGATGGAACTATTACTGGACTTGAAAATTGGTAAACCATCTCTTATTGGGTGATGTGTCACTGCTGATTAGGAATATTATTCTTTATTATTACTGTATATTTATTCAGAAACACTAAACCCACAGGGGTCATACAGTGCCTGGGGAATAGGAGGCAATTAGGTTTGACCCTAAAAAAATGGAAAGTGACTCCATTTCCTTGAATCAAGAGCCTTTCATCAGCTTTAGGAATGGTATATGATGCAGCTACTCTCTTGAGGAGAACCCTGTGCAATGCAACAACAATTTATTTACATGTTGCTGGAGTTTTAGAATATACCTGCACTAGACTGTCAGGAAGATATGCAGAGCAATATAGACATGATATATGACTACCTAATAATAATAATAATAATTATAATAATAATTTTATTATTATTATCACACTGGTCGATTCCACCAAGGCAGGGTGGCCCGAAAAAGAAAAACTTTCACCATCATTCACCCCATCACTGTCTTGCCAGAAGGGTGCTTTACACTACAGTTTTTAAACTGCAACATTAACACCCCTCTTCAGAATAATAATTCTTTATTTCAGCATGATACAATATTTCTACAGAGGTGAATGACATTTAGGTGTGCATGCAGAAAGCCCCTTAGTATGCAGAGCATTTTGGGTAAATTAAGACTAACTAAAAATTAAAATTGGGAATGACAGTTTCCTAAGTGTGCCTTATTTTTATTATTTTAGGGAAAGCATTCAGCATGAACAGCTATACAGTGCCTTGGGAATGAGAGGAAATTAGGTTTGTTCCAAAGAAGGATGTGGACAGGTTCAATTCCTTAGATCAACGGGTCGTGTTGCATAATAGAGTTGTTGAATAAATTTTACAGTGGTCAATTACATGCAGGCAGGATTGTGGATGACTGAATTGCAATGAGTGGGACACCAGGAGTTAGTAAGTGATAGACAGCTAACACATTGAGAGGAAGAGCAGGAAGACAAGGGAGATCAGGAAGGAAAGGAAGATCAGGAAGGAATGGGAGAACGGAAGGAAAGAGAGAGCAGAAGAAAGAGAAAGCAGAAACGTGTACACAAAAGGTCCCATAAAGGCCTAAGGTCAATAGCAATGACAAGGTTAGTATGTTCTTATGATCAGATCCACCTGGAGATATTTACATTGGAGCTGCCTCCTCTGAAGGGCTGGTGGGAAAGGTTGGTTGGTAGAAAAATGCTATATACAGATGGGTAGTGTAGAGGAGCATGGGGTTGGTTTGGGCACTTTTCAATGTTTGTGTTTTTGTGTGCATAATGTATCAGGTTTTGCAGGCAGTTTCTTTTGGATTGTCATAGCACGGGTACATGCATTTGCTATTTTGTCTGTGATAGTTTACATTCCAAGGTAAAAATGGTTTGCAGTTGAATCTTCATGTGACCTTGTGCAAATACTACCTACCTGAGATAGGTTGATACAATTTGGATGCTTTGAAATTTTTTTTTAATAATGTTGTAAAATAAATTTCTCCAGGCAGATTCATTTGGATTGTGTTAGAGCACATAGATATATAGCTAAATTGTCTGAAATTTAACATTCCACGACAGAATGTTTTGGAGGTATATATGAAAAGATTACTGTCCATTTTCAATCCTCTAATGAGATCAGACCAAACACACAATAAGTACCAAGATCTTATGGTTTCACTATAGCTCTTAAGTATTTAGTAAGATTATTTCATTTTTACATTGCTGTTACCATCATTTATGTGTTATGATGATGACACGTGCAGCAGTTGGGTATCTTTATTGTTGAAACGTTTCTCCCACAAAGTAGACTTCCTCAGTCAGATACAAAGGCAGCAGGTGCAGTAGTGAAAAGAAGATAATGTAATCACTCCATCAACCTTCTAGAAATAATATTCAAGGTGGTCAGTCCCTCAGCCTGGAGAAGAGTTCAGCTCCATGGAGCTGAACTCTTCTCCAGGCTGAGGGACTGACCACCTCAAATACTATCTCTCCGAGGTTGATGGACTGATTATATCATCTTCATTTCACTGCTACACCTGCTGCCTTTGTATCTGACTGAGGAAGTCTACTGTGTGGGAGAAACGTTTCAACAATAAAAATACCCAACTGCTACACATGTCTTAATCATCAGCTCATTGGTATTTTATACCATTTTCAATATGCATTGTTACCAAGGAAACAAGAATAGCATACATGTGTAGGGAAGGCAGCTCTTGGACCCATCCTTTGTGTACATGCTTACCTTCACCCATAAAAACTTTTCACTATAACTCTTGTATACCATGACTTAAGAAATCGTAATGACACGATTGCAAACAAACCATACCCCCGGCCGGGATTGAACCCGCGGTCATAGTCTCAGAACTCCAGCCCGTCACGTTAGCCACTAGACCAGCTAGCCACAATAAGATTCATCCAACTAGGTATATTTCTACACCATAGGAAGGTTAGCACAGGCACCTCTGTGACCACAAATGCAAGTTTTTACAGACGAATCTCCAGCTAGCGTGGCCGTGACGAACTCTAGCTCAAGTCCCTTCACTGCCGTCAACATGACTTAAGAAATCGTAATGACACGATTGCAAACAAACCATACCCCCGGCCGGGATTGAACCCGCGGTCATAGAGTCTCAAAACTCCAGCCCGGCCGGGGGTATGGTTTGTTTGCAATCGTGTCATTACGATTTCTTAAGTCATGTTGAGCTAGAGTTCGTCACGGCCACGCTAGCTGGAGATTCGTCTGTAAAAACTTGCATTTGTGGTCACAGAGGTGCCTGTGCTAACCTTCCTATGGTGTAGAAATATACCTAGTTGGATGATTTTTATTGTGGCTAGCTGGTCTAGTGGCTAACGCGACGGGCTGGAGTTTTGAGACTCTATGACCACGGGTTCAATCCCGGCCGGGGGTATGACTTGTATACCATAAACACATTGCTTCATGGTATACAGTGGACCCCCGCATAACGATATTATTTCAATCCAGAAGTCTGTTTGGGTGCCGTTATAGACCAAATTTTTTCCCATGAGAGATATTGTGAAGTAGATTAGTCTGTTTCAGACCCCCAAAAATACACCTCCAAAAGCACTTACAAAAATACACTTATATAATTGGTCGCGTTGGGAGCTGATCGTTATGCGGGGGTCCACTGTATTAAGGTTGCATTGTTTTGTTTCGGCATCAATACCTGACATGTTTACAGTGGCAGAGTTTAAGGAAGATGAGGTGAAAAGTGCAGTACAGTACAGTATGTACAGTGCATAGAAATTGTGATTTTTCTATAAAATTTTAAATAAATTCATATGTAGGGGTTACAGTTACACACACACACACACACACACACACACACACACACACACACACACACACACACATGATGAAGGTCATGGAACAGGGAGAGAGTGGACCTAGTAAGCAATTAGCAAAGAGGTGGGGCCAGGAGCTGTGACTCAACCTCTGTAACCACAAATAGGTGAGTACACATTCATGCACATATGCATGTACATGTGCACACACACATACTCTCACACTCTCGCTGAGTGTTAAGATTTCAGGTCTGTTTTTTTCTTTTTCTTTTTTTTTTTTTCAAAAATAAGTACAGTGGACCCCCGGTTTACGATATTATTTCATTCCAGAAGTATGTTCAGGTGCCATTACTGAACGAATTTGTTCCCATAAGGAATATTGTGAATTAGATTAGTCCATTTCAGACCCCCAAACATACACGTACAAACGCACTTACATAATTGGTCGCATTGGGAGCTGGTCGTAAAGCGGGGGTCCACTGTATTTGAACTATCTGAGTGTCCGAGCCGTCCCCACCCCTGCATACAGAGAACTAGTGCTGTAACACAAGCTTGCCTGCAGGTAACCTTGACTTAGTGCAACATGGTGGTGCTATGAGAGGTAACTGCATCTCATACTTCATGAATGCTATTAGTAATACAGTACTGAACTATTGTGGCACACATTTTATGCTTATCTTCTTAAGGGATATTCCTTGACGCTGGTGAAGGGCCCTTGGTCATTGTAACGAACTCATTTGTCTCCTGTATCTCCAGGCACTATATGACCCTTTCAGGTTTAGTGTTTCCCTAATGTAATAAGATTACAATGATAATAATTTTCTTGTATATGCAGATGGTTAATACTGGCACCTACAATTTTTTTTTTTTTTTTTTTTTTTTTTTTTTTTTTTTTTTTTTTGCAAATTATAAACACTATTGTGTTCAAATATACTGGCTTCCTGAGGTAATATTTTATGTGCCATAAGTCTTTGTGCAATAAATTCTAAAATTATTTATAATGTTTATTAGTTTTTCCTACTTTGTGGTTTAGCAAGTATATGAGAGGTGACGATTTGATTGAAGAAGTTTTACAATGCCGCTATTAATACAGTGTCTGTGTAGCTCCTAAGTAGTGAAACCTCTTGCTTTGTTCATATTATATAATCTGTATTTTCACCAGCAGTTATGATGACTTCTAACATGTTGAAGATTAAGACACATGTGCAACAGTCAGGTATCTTTACTGATGCAACGTTTCACATGCGTCTTAATCTTCAACTTGTCTGTATTTTATACTATTTTCAACCAGACTTCTGACATGTACTTGGTATGTAACATGTAATGCAAATATCCGCTATTGTTTGACATTCTTGCTTTAACAATACACTACTATTTTTTACATCATATTTGACTGAGTGAACCATATTTAACTTTGACAAATATAATTTTTGCAAATATGTTATTTGAAGATTAATTATAGTCAAAATAATTGTCATTGACTTAATTACTATACCAGTTTAACATTTAATTATTTAATTTAAAATAATATAAAAAAGAAATATTTAGAATTTTGCATTTAAAAACTTAAACAAAAGGCAATTAAGAACATTGTTCTTGAAGACACTCTTGTGAAGCATTAATTTAGTGTGTATAACAGTGCCCAGCCAACATTATGGGCTGTAATGATTTGTCCCCACAGGACTGCAGCATTGGAAGGAACCCCAAGGATGCTCTCTACACCGTGCCTACCCACTTCTGAATCCTGCACTGCCACTACTACTGCTAGCCAGCCGCCAGATCAACATCTCCACCTTCAAAAAAAACAAAAAAAATCACCTAATATATTCTAATGGCACACCTAAAAAGCCTTCACAGGCCATGACCCAGAATACAAAATTTTTCATAATAGTTTTGATTTGGGGTCCTGTCTTTATTGTAAATTGAAAGATTTCGAAAATCAGCAACATGTATCAAAATCCTTACTTTCAGAATTATAAGTGTATATGTTTTACTTACCAATAAAATTTCCTCTTTATTATAGTGAAAATATGGGGGTAGTGATAATGATATGATAATAGGATGATGGTGATGATAATGACATCAGTGGCCAGTAATATGTCATTTTCAAATGTCTTTTAAAAATTAAATTATACAGTAGAATGCAAATGTATTTTGTAAAATATGATGACTTTTAAGACCTTGGAAAACCATTTTTATGATAAAGATTAAAGTATTGCATTATATAAAGTACAAGTATTGTAAGAGAGCTTTGCGGAGAAAGTCTGTCAGCATCACATCACCTGCTGTATGTATGCAGATTAAATTGTATTACCAGATAGAGGTATCCTTTATTTTCAATTACAGTGATGCCCCCTTGTTTTCAAGTACAGTGGTACAGTACACTGTGTTTTCAAGTACTGTGATACCCTGTGTTTTCACATATTGTGGTACAGTATGCTGTGCTTTGAAGTACTGTGGTACCTTGTGTTTTCAGGTACTGTGGTACCCTGTATTTCCAAGCACAGCGGTACCCTTGTTTTAAAGTACCGTGGTACCTTATTTTAAAGTACTGTACTGTATTGTACTCCTTAATTTAAAGTATAGTACTCTGGCACACTTGTCAGCTGCAGTGTATACAAAATTTTGTTTGAGAGGGTGTGAAAAAGGTGAAAGGAATTTATTTTTGTAGAAAGAGAACTTTAGTGTATGTGGAAAACAACTCGCTGATTATAGGAGAAATGGAGTACAAATAGAGGTCACTATGGCAGGTTTATGTTATTTAACGTGTGTTTAGGTATAGTAAATACAGCTGACCTTATGAGTAAGAGGCTTAAAATTAATTCCTGTTAATTATGAGAGCATACTTAGCAATCCTACTTATTTGTAAAAGTGTAGTTTGAACATGAAAATGGATTTAATTATGGCTAGATTCACTAATTTGTGCTCTTTAAAATTAATTGTGAAGACTTGTGCAAGTTCATGAAATGCACAAGACTGCTCTTCCAGCTGGAAAATAGAATAGACACAGAAATATAACAGTAACCTTCAATATAACAGACCTTTGTATATCAGACTTTAGAAATACAGAACAAAATCAATTGGATCAGTTGATTCAGAAACAATGGACAAAGTTTATTAGTTACAGAATTGTCCACTATTTTCCATATTAGTTCATTATATTGAGAGTTTACTATCCTAGGATATTTAGTTCATTGTTTTAAACGGGATGAAAACCCTAGCACTGGTAAGCCAGTAGATGCTTAATGTGTTTTTAGCACCAGTAACCCTGTACTTGCTTATACGTTTTCTGAGTGGGTCTTCTGACAAGGACCCACGTCAGGAGACACTTCTCGGTTTCCAGACAAACAAAATACCACCAACATCTAGAATAAAGAAAACATTTTGTGTGTGTGATGATTGCTAAAGTTTCAGGTATCTAGTATTGAGGATAATTTTGCTTTGTACCAACCAGTTCATAGTATGTTAATATATTTAGTCTTTTGATAGAAGAGCTTAATACTCATCATAGAGGTATGTTAGGTGGCACAAATGCTTCATAGAAAAGGGTAGCAGTTCTGTTTTCTAAGGTGTTTCAACTGCATTCAGTAAGTTTCCTCAGCATAATAATTTAATCTTGTGATAAACTGTATTTCATTAATCACATATATACAATTTATTATTTTTTATTTTGTTATTAATACAGGGTTCCCAACTAACAAATGGCCAAGTTGTGACGATCCATGATTACCATATTAACGAGGTCTATGAGAAATAATGTTATGAAATAATTATTTGTGGACAGAGATGTACAGTGTCCAGCATAATATGTAACAAACATAAACACATCTTTTGCACTAATATCTTCTTTAGGAAAATCAGGTTAATATGAAAAACTAGTCTGCAAATTGGAACACCAGGAACACAACTCATTCGTTAGTGTGGTACCTCTGTATTTGTTTTGTTGGCTGTCTTATCTTTGCCCATTTTTTTTGTACCCTAGTTTATTCTTTTGCCCTCCTTGTTAATAGTTTTGGCTATCACATCATCATTTCTTACATTTTTCATACATGCAATATCAACAAACATCTCCAGCTACAGAAATTAACATTATATAAAATTCGTGAGGATTTGAAATTCCCAGGTATGTAAGGTTTTCTTGAATATAATAATTATTACTGCATACAATAACAAAATTTATAATTTGTTCATGTTACTTTTACACAGTTTTGATGTAGGTGTTAGTATAGCTTGAGTCCCTAAACACACTTGGATATGCAGAAGCTCTACTTGAAAGGTGTTCTGGGGGTCAACGCCCCCGAGGCTTGGTCCATGACCAGGCCTCGCGGTTGATCAGGACCTGATCATCTAGGCTGGGTGGTCAGGTACTGACTTTAGGTGCCTGTCCAGCTCCCTCTTGAAGACAGCCAGGGGTCTATTGGTAATCCCCCTTACGTATGCTGGGAGGCAGTTGAACAGTTTTAGGCCCCTGACACGTATACAGTATATTCCTATATGTGTATACAGTATATACCTGTACATGTATACAGTATATACCTGTACATGTATACAGTATATACCTGTACATGTATACATTATATACCTGTACATGAAGCTTCAGAAGGCACAGTTATATGATAGCAATATACGTATAGGTTTTTGCATTTTTTGTGCTAGTTAGCAGTGTTGTCTATGGAGAGGTGTGTTTTGTAAGACAATAGTTTCAAAAAAATACTTAAAAGAGCAGAGTGGAGGCATACACTGTATTTGTAAAGAATGAACACCACACAAAGTTTAATATAAATTTGTATAGCTGGTTAAAAGTTGTAGTCAAATATTCATTATGAAAATGATGTTCGTCTCTGAGCAAGGGTGTTGACGAACCTGCTAGTTCCCCAGGAAGATGTCACTTAACCCGTAAACGGTCCAAGCAGATCTACGTTCACATGTGTAGTCGCTACAAAAGTAGATCTACGTTTTTTTTTATATATTTTCAAATATAAAATAACAAAAAAAAAAAGTAGATCAAAGTTTTTTTTACACATTTTCAAATGTAGAAAAACAAAAAGAAGATCTGCTTTTTTTACATACTTTCAAACGTTGAAAAAACGTATATATACGTTTGGACCGTTTACGGGTTAATTTATGTCTTGTTCCTTGGGACAGAAAAATATAAATTTCACTGTATTTAAACATTAATACACATTCTTATTGTTTGAACTTGTTAGATATTTTATTGTATAATGTACATCAGCACAAATTGCTTTTATAAACAATTGAATAAGCTCAGTCAGTGTGAAAAGTTGTATGGAAAGCCTATTCAAAAAAAATTCCAAAACTTTGGGACCTTTTTCCTTCAAGTTTCCAATTCTTTGATAATTAAGTTTGACTGCTCTTATTAATTTTTTTATTGACAAATTGTATTAAGTGCTGCATATATTGAACAGTCAGTTATGGGATTTTTTTTTTTTATAGTAGAGTGAAAAAGTATGGAAGCAATAAAACATTGATTACTTATTACAGTGGAACCTCAAATATCGAACTTTCTTCGGTCCAGAAGGCTGTTCGAGTGCCTTTACCGAATGAATTTATTCCCATCAGGAATAATATAAATTAGATTAGTCCATTTCAGACACTCAAAAATACACTTATAAAAGCACTTACAAAAATACACTTACATAATTGGTTGTGTTGGAGCAGTTCGATTTTTGAGGTTCCACTGTATATGCATTATTTAACACTCTGGAGGAGCAGTAACTTAGGTTTACTACTGTGTGACAAGTTGTCAGCTGTTAAATAATAACAACACATTTTCTTTCTGAGCTGCTGAGATGTAAATTGGGCAGTCTCACATTTCTCACCAGTTTGAGTTTAGTGCACTAAACTCATTTTTCATGGTCACTGTCTCAATCAAAAAAGTAACAGTGCCGCTGAATGTGCTTCCATCTGCCGATAAGGAAAATAGACATATTTTTTAATTGCTTGAGTGTGAATCCCCCTTTCAGTACTGGTATCACATGGGCTAGCCCACTTGACTTCTAAGTAGTTCACACAGCAACTTTTACTCACTGTGTACACTTAAGTGCAGAGATGAGTCCCAGTCATCAACACAGTTACTAGTTTTAAGTGGAGGCAAATGAGTTACACATTTTTTTAAATAATGACAACACATTACACAATTCCTACCTACTAGGCTTTGTGTAACTACCTTTAAGATATGTATTTATTTCACTTACATGTATTTTTTTTTTAATTTCTTGCTTAAATCATTAAGCAATAAATTTCATTTTTTTATTATGAGTTTTTATATATAATATACAGTACTGTATAATTAAAATTTTATTCAAAGTTTGTTATAATAAACCTCTTATTTATAAATATTTTTATACGGTTCATATACTCATGACTACTATTTGGTGATAAAGAACAGCAGTGTGTTGAATTAAGCATAAATTTTACTGTCCTGATGGTCACCAAGTTGAATTTATAAGACTGAACATCTTTCCCTTTCTTTTTTTGGAAAGACAGTGATTGAATGAATGATGCTGAATGTTTTCTTCTTTGAGTCACCCTGCTTTACTGGGAGACGGCCATTGAGCATGTTAGATAGGAGTGAATGGAGACCGATTGTTTTGGGGACCTGACAAGCTGTTGGAGTGTGAGATATCTGGATACCTGGAGATACAAGCAGGGTAATATTTTGTGAAGGGATTCAGGGAAACCATTTAGCCAGACTTGAGTCCTGGAGGTGGGAAATACAATGCCTGCACTTCAAAGGAGGGGATTGGGATATTGGCTGTTTGGAGTGACATCTAAACTGTCATATCTGAAAGCCTTTGACAAGATCGTGATTATGTGTGAATGATGGTGAAAATGTTGAATGATGGTGAAAGTGTTCCTTTCTTTTTGGGTCATCCTGCCTTGGTGGGAGACATCTGACGTGTTAAAAAAATATGTATATATGTATATGAAGTGAAAAATTAAACTGGAAGGCAGATGAGCAGGTGAAGAATCACTGCAGATTATCATTATTATTACTGGGTATTATTTTATTCATGGGGAAATGCTGAACCATAAGGGTTACTCAAGGGCAATGAGAAGGTTTGGACTAATCAAGTTTGATCTAAGGAAGGTAAGGGTTACTCCACTTCTGTAGAACAAAAGCCCTTAATAAGCATAAAGGCCACTTTTTCTTTGAATGGGGTAGATTAAATATGTAATATATATCCATAGTAATAACACAATGTCTGTTTTGTAGTTACATTATTGCCAAGAACCCCTTCGAAGGAGGTGCCTTGATCATTCTGGGCTTTTGAGTTGAGGAATAGGAGCTATCATTTCCTTTTTCAGATCAAACCTGATTGTCTCCCATTCCCCAGGCACTGTATGACCCCTTTGGTCTCCCATTCCACAGGCACTGTATGACCCCTTTGGTCTCCCATTCCACAGGCACTGTATGACCCCTTTGGTCTCCCATTCCACAGGCACTGTATGACCCCTTTGGTCTCCCATTCCACAGGCACTGTATGACCCCTTTGGTCTCCCATTCCACAGGCACTGTATGACCCCTTTGGTCTCCCATTCCACAGGCACTGTATGACCCCTTTCAGTTAAGTGCTTTTCCCAGGAATATAATGGTAATAATTACTTAAAACACACACAAGTTATTTTAATTTGGGCCCCTCATGGGAGGGGCTTTAATGCTGGTGACTCTTGATGCAAGGAACTGAAGCTAAACTCCCTTTCCTTGAATTGAATCTCAATTCCTCCCATTTCCCAGTTGCTATGTGACCCATATGGGTTGATTGCTTTTCCTTGAATAAAATATACAAAATTTCAAGCGCATTCCTGGGGAACTGATCTTCCCCACTAGATAGTAACACAAAATAAGTTAGACCAATAGTCTAAAGTAGTTTATTTTTTCGTAACGTGACATACTGTAGTATTACATTATATGCTGTTCTGTCATGCAGGGCCAGCACTATGCCCTTGTGGGTTTAGCACTTAGTTTTCATTATAATATACATGGAAAAGCCCCTAGTTTTGTAATTTATTTTGGGCAGACTTCAAATTAAACAAACATACATTAAAATAGTTATTGAATAAGGACATTACAAAAATTTTCATGAAAATTGAATTAAGTTATAGAGGCAAGTCCCATTTTGTAATAAAGTTGGTAGAATTACTGACAATATGTAAAGTAAAAGGACACAAGTGCAACTAATGTGACATTTTATTGTGGCAACGTTTTGCTTGACAAAGCTCCTGGAGAGCGAAACGTTGCCACAATAAAATGTCACATTAGTTGCACTTGTGTCCTTTTACTTTACAAGTCCCATTATACAGCGCTTCACTTTACAGTGTTTCGGTAATACGTACAGCGGCTTTCAATTATATACTCGTTCTTCATTTATTCAGACTTCCTACAATAAATGTATTCACCACACCCAATAAGCTAAGCAAGAAAATATTTTAAAGTAATGTGTGTACTGTATATGCATTTTTTAGGCCTAGCTATATTATTACTTCCCCCTTGATTATAATAATAATACAGTGGACCCCTGGTTAACAATATTTTTTCATTCCAGAAGTATGTTCAGGTGCCAGTACTGACCGAATTTGTTCCCATAAGGAATATTGTGAAGTAGATTAGTCCATTTCAGACCCCCAAACATACACGTACAAACGCACTTACATAAATACACTTACATAATTGGTCGCATTGGGAGGTGATCGTTATGCGGGGGTCCACTGTATAGTACATATATTGCTCACTTAATAAATGATAGTGTAAACATGTAATCAGGGTTTTATATGCATTTGAAAGTGTAAAAAGGCTATGATTCACTTTACAGTGGTTTTTGCTTTACAGCAGTAGCCTGGAACCTGAACTGCAGATTTTTTTTTTTTAACAAGTCGGCCGTCTCCCACTGAGGCAGGGTGACCCAAAAAGAAAGAAAATCCTAAAAAAAAAAAAGAGAAGAACTGCAGATATAATGATTAATATAAATAATAACTTTAGGACTGACAATGATGGAGGGAAAGCTGCCTTAAACAGGGCACTCCCCTGACAGGTCAATAGTGCCACATGGCACTGCAGCTTAACAAATGCAAAATCTACAACAAATGCATAAGATTTTGTTCGAATTTTTAGCCCCAAAGGGTTTGCCACCCAGGATAACCCATGAAAGTCAGTGTGTTAACAAGAACTGTCTGTCATATTTCCATTGGGGTCCTTCAATCTTGTCCCTCAGGATGCGACCCACATCAGTCGACTAATACCCAGGTACCTCCTTACTGCTAGGTGAACAAGGACAGCAGGTGTAAGGAAACACACTTAATGTTTCCACCCATGCCGGGTACTGAACCACAGACAATCACTGTGTGAGGCAAGAATGTTGCCTACCAGGCCATGAGACACCTATACCAATCTTGAGTCCTGGACTGTATGACACTTGTGAGTTTAGTGCTAAGTTTTGATTGAGTCCTGGAGGTTGGAAGTACAATGCCTACACTGAAGAACGAGTTATGATGTTACAGGTTGGAAAGTCATCTGAATCGGCATACTTCTGGCAAGACATCACTTGAATGAATGATGGTGAATGTGTTTCCTCTTTTTCTTGGATCACCCTTCCATGGTGGGAGACAGTCAATGTGATAATAAAGAGAAGTACAAGCATATTCTTAGCACACCGCACTGTTTGACCCAAGTGGGTTTAGCCCTTCTTTTTTATTATAATAATTCTTGGCACAGCCTCGGCTAACACCACCTAATGCTAGTAATAAAGTCAAAGTGACTTATTTCCAGACACCCAAGACTAACTCCCAGAAACAGTTCTAGCCTAAATATATGTTTAGCACTTAGTTTTGATAATAATAATAATGATAATATGTGTGATGATCAACAAAATCTTGCTGGACCTTGCAACACTGCTGCTGCAACTTGGTAGGAAGACAAAGCAGGTGATCTTGGCCCCCAATTTTACTGACCAGTACCCCTCGAGGGAGGATTTTTGAGCCAGTTGATGGGCTCTAGACCCAATAATTATTATAACCATAACTAAGTATACTAAACCCAGAAGTGCCATACAGCACTGTAGATCCAATAATAATGGTAATAAAATAATACTAGCTGAGAGGAGGAGAAGAAAGGATCAGGTTAAGTCACGAGTGTTCTTAAGTTTGGATCGGGTTTAGCGCTTCCCCTTGATTATAATAATAATAATCTTAAGTTTGGAGCATATTAGAATTCATTCATGCAAGGAAAGTTGTATATGGATGCTTTAACAAGAGTTGTGGAAGATGGCCAATGTGGTTCCTATATTCAAATCGGGATAAGTCCGTTCCTTCAAATTACCGTCCAATAAGCCTGACATCTATAGTGGGCAAATTACTAGAATCAATTATAGATGACATTATTAGAAGTCACCTTGAAGAGCATAACTTGATAAATGAATCTCAGCATGGGTTTATGAGAGGTCGTTCCTGCCTGACAAACTTACTGACGTTCTTAAGTAGAACATTTGAGGCAGTGGACAGTGATAAAGAATATGATATTGTTTATTTGGATTTTAGTAAAGCCTTCGATAGAGTACTTCACAAGAGACTCTTAAGAAAAGTGGCAGCTCATGGTATAGGAGGTAAAGTTCTAGCATGGATAGAGGCATGGCTTACCAATAGAAAGCAGAGAGTTTCCATTAGTGGAGTGAAATCTAAGTGGGGATTAGTCACTAGTGGCGTTCCACAAGGATCAATTTTAGGCCCTCTCTTCTTCATAATTTACATTAATGACCTTGATGAAGGGATTACGAGTGACATGAGCAAGTTTGCTGATGATACAAAGATAGGCCGTATGATTCATTCTGAGAAGGATAGCAATGAACTGCAGGAGGATTTAGACAAATTAATGTCTTGGTCTGAAAAATGGCAGATGAAGTTCAATGTGGATAAGTGTAAGGTACTGGTCCTTGGTGATGAAAATAACCCTCGAAACTATAATCTAGGTGAAGTAGAGCTTGATCATACAGAGTGTGAAAAGGACTTGGGAGTCATGGTAAGCAGAAACCTAAAGCCAAGGCAGCAGTGCCTAAGTGTGCGCAACAAAGCTAACAGATTACTTGGATTTATCTCAAGAAGTATAAGTAACAGAAGCCCAAAAGTTATTTTACAGCTCTATACATCACTGGTGAGGCCTCATTTAGATTATGCTGCTCAGTTTTGGTCTCCTTACTACAGGATGGATATAGACTCATTGGAGAACATACAGAGAATTTTTTTTTTTTTTTTTTTTATCACACCGGCCGATTCCCACCAAGGCAGGGTGGCCCGAAAAAGAAAAACTTTCACCA